TGTTAAGTTACAAGTGCAAATATTTTTTTTATTTCTGACATTTCTACCCTGCTAGCTTATCTGCCACCTGTGTCATCCTTTACAAAAGCAGGCAGTAGCAGACAAATTGGAAGGAACGAAGATAACAATTGCACGTAAAGCTTTTTGTATACTGCATGGTATTTGAAATATTATGTTACTAGTACAAATAGATATTTTATAATGCTAGCATTTCTACCCTGCTAGATTCAATCGGCGAAGAAATTTTTGCCAGGGAGATAACTAAGATACGATTAACCATAGATTGAGGAGCACATGAAGTAATTGATGTTGAGAATGGATTCGTACCAGTCTCCTAAGGATGTCATGAGTAGTGACATGGGCCAGATCAAAGAAGTTTTAAAAAAGTTTTCACTATGATCATTGAACAAACTTCAAGATGTGGAGGATAGTCTAAGAATCAAGGATGTGAAAACTTAACTGGTAATCACAAGTTTACGTAAATTTATTTTTATTAGTTAGCTTTATTATAAACTAACTTTATTTTTAGATTTTGTATTTGGCTAGGACAGGTGGAAAAAATGCTAAACCTGTCACAGTACAGTTGTTGAAATTAATATTTGATGATGGCTTGGCTAGAGAGTTTAGCTGGGCAGGTGGTAAAAGAAAACACAAGTATTGCGAGCTTGTGCTGTTCGAAGTCATCACTGGTAATTTATAATTCTTATGTTTATGATATCTTGTAAATTATGAATAAAGCTTACATATAAATAATTTCAGAAACTGTAAAGAACTTACCCAATGAGACTAAGTTTGCCATCTCAGAGGCTACAAAAAGCTGGCTGAGGCATGCCAGTGAACGGTATACAAGATATTTTGTGAGATGTGTATTATTAATTTTATATATATATATATATATATATATATATATATATAAATACACGAATTATATTATGAAAAGGGTTTATCTAAAAGAAGTATTGCAGAATCGATGTTAATAGCTCATACATAAAATCTTATCGTATCTAAATCTTAATAATACTTTGTAGTTTTTTATGTACTTGTGTATGTATATGTATATATGTGTATGTTTATAAGTATAAGTCTATATGTAATATGGTTGTATGTATGTGACTATATGCGGGTGTTTTTATATATATGTAGGTGTGTGTTTGTGTGATGTGTATATGTGTATATATATATATATATATATATATATATATATATATATATCGATGCTTTTCTGACGCAACCTCGTATCTCAGAAACTACTACTTTTCAGGAGAGACAAAAAAAACGTTTTATAACGAATTTTTGAACTGCTGTTAAAAATTTTTTTTATAAATTTTAAAAATATTCAATCTTGTGACAATTATTTGAGACAAGTATGATATTACAAACAATTAATCATTATTTTTTCTTCAATTCTTTGAGATACGTGTTTGTCGCACGGAAAAAAATGTAACATACGTGGTTGCGCCATGCTGTTTTCAAATAAGGGTACATGAATAACTTTTTTCAATTGTTTTATTTTGAGAATCGATCAACTTTTTAAAGAATTCTTAATAAAAAAACAAACATTATTAAACTTGTGGTATATGTTAGTTTATAATTACGACAATATAGTATCTGGCCATAGTTTAGGTATTTCAATATCTAGGATATTTAGCTCTTTCATGTATTTATAATTTACTACTTTGTGATTATCATTTTTATTGTTACTTTTATTTTTTTTGTTATTATTTCTTTATTTAATGATTTTTTATCTGCGGATGACACATTATCTAACTCTAAAAAATACAAAATTTGAGATATTCATGTGAGAATTTATTGTCAGTAAGAATTGATAATTATTTAATTTTTGTTGATTACTGTGATATTTGTTCTCAACATAATAAAAATATAACTAGTGGTGCATGGCATCGTGCCTTTAAGCAAGGAATAATAAATGTTTTCAAATAGATTATTATAAATACTGTAACTTTCGTTATTCGTATTTGAATGACAAAATATAAGAATAAATTGGAAAACGACGTTTATATATGTTTACATAAAATGTAAATAAAAGTAAAAAAGAACATATCTCATATTTCTAAGAATTATATAAACTAATTTGCAAATTTAAATTTATTTATTTGAAGTATATAAGAGAGTTTTAGAATTTTAGCTAGCATTAAAATTAAAATCCGAATCATTTTTCATATTTAAACAAAGAAATAATTGTAAATAAAAAAAAAATGGACAAAAAAAATTCTGCTTTCCTAAACTAATCGATTCTTTATACTGCAAAATGTTTTTTGAATCATTAGAATCGGAAGCTTTGAAACGACTGGGCCCGTCTTTTCCAGAAACTAATTACCACGTCATCAAAACAAATTGATTGTTTTTAAATAATTCAAATCGGATGCTCTGTTTTCTCAATAGGAAATGATTGCTTTTTGTGCACTGTTTGCTCCCGAAAACGTGGACAGAAAATTGTATCCACACACACACACACGCACACAAACACATACATCCATTTTTTTAAGGTATGCCAAGATATTCAGAAACCTCTGAAACGTTAAATATGCAAAAAGTTGCATTTTCAATTTTAAGAAAATTACTATAACTTGCGGTAAGTAAATAATAAATGTATTTATTAACTATCGTTCATTAAGTTTCAATAACAATTAACTTAATTGAATAATAATTTTTATTAGAAAGATTGAACTAAACAACATTGCTGACAGCGAAACTTGTTTATATACGCCACCATGTATTCTGAGATACGAGGTTGCGCATGGCACATTTTTCTGAATTGAGATACGTGATTGTATTTTTCTCAATAAAAAACGTTCGGTTGATTTTTTTTTTTACAAAACTTCACAGATCTATGCGTCTATATTTAGTGATTGATTTTCCGATTAAAACTCAAAATCGTCAAAAATCGAGTTACGAGGTTGCGTCAGAAAAGCATCGATATATATATATATATATATATATATATATATATATATATATTTTTAATTATAACAATTTAAAACAAATTTTATAAACAAACCGTCTCATACATAAAATATTTTTTTTCCTAACGACATTTATTTTTCAACTGGACCCTAATCCTTCCTTTCCTATCTGATATTGCCTGACTATTCAATTTCAAGTGGTTTTCAAGTGGTTAGAGAATTCGGACACCAACGATCGTTGGTGTGGCAGAAGATAGTATATCGAACGACTTGTAACGGATAACACATAATGCTAATTTAGGTTTCCATATTTTAAATTTTCAATTATAACAGACTAATGACCTCAAGTGACCATTTGTTTGCTCAGAGCGTCTTGTATTCATTTTTGACACATCCTATTTATTTCAAAAGCTGTGCTGTAAAAGTACTTATTGGTTTAATGTGAATAATCTGTTACCACAACATTTTCTGAATTATATTATTGCATTTAGGTTATTCAAATTGAGATTCAAAATTTGGAATTCATCAAAGGGGACACCATAGATATTTTTGTCTAATAACTTATTGCGAGTTTAAATAATAATAATAAATCAATAAGAAAATTGGATTATAACACAGATAGTAATTTTGGAAATCATATTCATAAAAATTTCAATTATGTGTACAAACAAATACAAGATCTTCGGAAACAGAATTGTTTGAAAATTGCTTAAAAAGCTCGCATTATGACATGTGACATCAACATAAGTACAGTTTAATTAGATATGGAAGTAATCATTACAAATATTTACAGTACAATCTATTTGCAATGCAAATTCTTCTTTACAATATTAGAATGAGTTTTGTAGTTATATGATCCATGACATTTATATTTTTAGGGCTTGACAAATGTCACAGTTCACAGAAGTATGAAAAGTATCAGCAGTACGAACTTGCATTATGTTGCATGATTTCATCATCCAAATAGGCCTTCTAATGCATAGAAAGAACTTTTTCCAACATTCCAATTTGCAATGAAAAAATTAAAATAGTTAAACATATTCCACATACTGACAAAGTTTGCATTGATGGTACACATGGAACTAATGACTATGGCTTTCAATGACATACACTACTATTTTCGAATAGGCAGGATGCAGTATTATGTAAAATATGTTTAAAAATATATATTAAGAAAAATTTATAAGGTGGTAGACATAATTAAAATATGGACTTTCAAGACATAAGATGCTCTAACATATTTCGACACACCTATCATGGGTGTGTGGCGGCATAAACTTTATAAACACATATGCAAGAGCTGGAAAAATTCAGCATTAAATATGATCAGGAAAATACCTGGCATAATATAAATACACTTTTGAATGAGTTTCAGAAAGTAGATGATACTAAGTTATTTGTGAACTATTATAAAAAACGCTTCCTGCAAAGAACAACTACTTGGTTTTACTGTTATTGGAAAGAATTAGGAATTAACACCAATATGTATTTTGAAAGTTTTTACAAACGAATGAAAAGTAGAGTTTTGAAAAAAAAAGTGCTCTTGATTTGGATGTTCTTATCAGAAGATCTAATGATTAAATCGAACGTTACTATCAACACGACAGAGAAATATAAAAACAAGCCACATCAATATTGTCTGATCTATTATAGAAATCAGTTCCAATGCACAATGGATTGTATCACCAACAGGTGATGCCTTGGCACCATATGTGATTATTAAGAAAAAACAAACATGCAATAGTTCTTGCAATATAAACCATATAAGATTTGTTTTCATACGTAAGAGGCACTTGTATAGACTATTTCATTGAAGCTAGCACATCCACGCTTTTGGCATTATAAGCACCGTGTAATCAAAAAAACATTTGGTGATAACTCAAACTCATAACTCATTTATTTGTTTGATGCAAATGGGTTAAGTATGAGCTGTTGGAAAAGGATACGGTACAAAAATTGAATTTTATTAATCGACTACTGTCAACATGTGCCTCAAAATGTTTCGTAGAACATGGTATATGTAATCGTCCTAATCAGGATTATATCCATCGCAAGAAAAAACATGGATGTACTTACTTGTCAAGATTTTTTTCTCAAGTCACCTCATATAGCTCTCGAATATAAGATAATTCATTGAAACATTCACATAGCCCTCCATAATGTTCAACAGTATTTCTTTACCTCCATCTGAAATTACAAAATATTATAATAATTTATATATAGTAATAAAAATATTATTTTGAAGCAGTCTCAAAAAAGAGAAAAAATAAATGAATGTAAATGAAAATAAAAATAACATGTGCATCAACCATATCCTTTCTCTGAAATTGATACGATATCGATAAACAACAAATCATCACAAATAAGACGAGCATTTAGTTTAAAATTAAATAGCGTATTTTAAAATATTAAACAAAAAGAAACACGAGCGTTATTAACGATTGTTTCACATATAAAATCAAAGCCAATGCAGAATAGAATGCTGTCTAATGTTTTGCAATTTTCGCGTGTTAAATCAGCAAGCAAAATTATCAATCAATTATAATACTAACAAAATACCTGCAAATAATTTTATCGCCCAATTGGATCAAAGCACTGAATTTAAACAAAATCGAACTAAACATCAAAACTAATGTGAAGCACAGATTAAACTCTATTTAACACAATTAAAATCACTATTTTACCTGCTTTCTCTGTCTCTACTTTTGCATTTACATTTGCTGAATCACTTTCCTGCTTCACAAATTACAATAAACGCACGAGGCACGACACACGTGACTTGTGACTTGAGCTAACAATAAGCACGACCACAGAGTAATATGAATAGATGCACCACTAGACGAGACGCAGGTCGGCCAACGGAGGCGAAATGTCAACGGCGCCAAATTCAACTTCATCATTTACTTGGTATTGTTATAAATAAGAAATTATAATGTTACATGCATTACATATATTTTATATAACAATAATTTGAAATTGTTGTCATTAATATGAAAATGAAAAAATACAGATGTTACAGTGGTATACAGAGTACTTTATGATGGAACATTTCGTAAAAAATAGAAAATTATTTGAAAAGTTTGAACAATTTGTAAATATTGTAATACTGTCAATATTATTAAAATTTTTATTCATTGTTATTGTAAATAATATTTAATTGTAATGTTACAAGCATCATTTAAATTTAATGTAGATTTAATTAAATTATTTATAAAAATAAAAGGCTACAGGTGTTCTTCTATATTAACTGCAGGAAGTTAAAGTAAACGCAAAAAAATCGAAAATGAAAATTTTTATATATTTTTAAGTTTCGAAGGTTTCTGAACATTTTGGCATACCTTAGAAAAAATTGATGTATATGTGTGTGTGCGTACAAAAATTTTCGTCCACGATTTCGGAAACACGGATCAACCGATTTGAATAATTCAAAACACATCCGATTCATATTGATAAGGAGACGTGTTGATTAGTTTTTGGCATGGGCAGGTCTAGCCGTTTCGAAGATCCGGGGTAAAAAGTACCACAAACGGTAACTCAGTTTTTAAGAGAACGGAGCGTCCGATTTGAATAATTCAAAAAACATTTGAATGAGAAGAAATCGAATGTCAGCAAGACCAAGATTCCAGCAAAATCTCAAATGAACAGGTTACTGCTGCAGTAGCAACTGCTCTAAAAACTGGAAAAGCGGAAAATTAAAACGTTCCGCTATATCGTGGCATCTATCTTTACCATCTGACGCTGAGACATAAGAATGTAACAGATGAACCAAATTGAATCTTGGTCCAAAAAAAGAAAGCGACAAAGCGAAAGGATATAACTATCGAAGGCACAAATGCAGAGGCCTTGATAAAAGATGTGGCAAAGCAAGCGCATCTGCATGTGTTTTGACTGGCGCCAGAAACAACAGAAGAACAATTAAAAAATTACCTGCGGGATAAAAATTTCGAAAATGTAACATGTGAAAAAATTGCATCCAAACATCCAAAAGTATATTCATCATTCAATGTATTTGGATACAGAATTAGAAATAATTAAATCGCTAGAATTATGGCTTCAAGGAGTATGCGTGGATCGTTTTTTCTTCAGACTTCAAAAGCAACCAAGCAACGGCAAGTAGATAATATAAATATACTTGGTCTGAACATTCAATGTTTATCAAATAAATCAGCAGTTTTTTTAAATAATATTAACCTACTTTGACAGAACTCTGGTTAAATGTCAAACAAATGGATTTTCGTCTGATTAGCAGTTATTGCCGTAGTGAACACATACATGTCGAAGTTGCAATATTCTGCCGAAATCACCTTGACTGCGCAGAATTAAATAACATTGTAGTGCAATATGATGAGCTTGCAAGCGAACAATTATTATTGTTAATTACAGGTCGCTAAATTCGACTTTGAATTCAACACTTTTGACTCAAAAACTAATATCATCATATACGGTGACCTGAATGTGGATTTTTTAAAAGATTCTAATGATAAAAGTGCGCTAATTAATTCTGCTTCTACTTTCGGACTGAAACATAAATTGATAAAACCAACCCATGTCAACGTGAACTCTAAAACTTGTATGGATAAAACATTTACAAACTTACAATCAGACCAATTCATAATTGATACTTTACCATGTTCTATATCCGACCATGAAGCATATTCGTTAATCATGAATATCAAAATTTCTTCTACCAACGCAAACTTTCACATATTAAGGAAAATCAATGAACTAAATATGGAAAATTTTGAAAACGGAACTATCTCAAGTTAATTGGAATTGCCTGAATCAGAGTGAAGAAAGCAATAAACAAAATCAATATTTTTCTACACAATCTACGATATCTTAAAGAACCCGTGGATTTTCTGTATGATGCTTTTAAACAGTCACAACGACTTGATCTGGAAGAATCTTTTCAACATTATAAAAGATTATATAACAATAAGATGGAAATTGAACGTCAACAAAGAAATGTAACGAATAAAGTTAAATCAGATAATAAACAAGAAACTATATGGTAAATAATAAAACAAGGAACAGGTCAAAAATATTCAAATAATATTGGCATTGGAACGCTAGCAGCAAAGGAATTTAACTATTTTTTAGGAATGTAGCTGTGTCAATCTAACTAACAACTTGCTCGACACAGCGACTAGGCCTGAAACTTATTTAGCTAAGGTACATGTCAATGGGCGTAGTATTTTCCTGGGGCCAACATCTCCAGAGAAATTGTTACAGCAATTAAACGGAAGAAACGTAAGACATCACCAAAATGATCAAACCAGTAGCCGAGTATATAGCTTCGAGGCTCTGTGAAATCGTGAACGTGTATTCGCTACAGGACAGTTTTCAGATAAAATGAAGCTGGCGAGGATCATTCCACTGTATAAATCTGGAGACTGCCAAGATGCATCCAATTATCGGCCAATCGCCATATTGCCCGAGTTTCCTAAATTACAAAAATACAAAATTTCTTTGAAGCCAATAACTATTCAAGCAATAGTCAATTTGGGTCTAGAAAGGGGTTGAATACGTTTCGATGACATAGCACACTTTTTTAATTTTATACAAGATTCTTTAAACAATCATGAAAATTGCGGTGTGCTGTTCTGTGACCTCAGTAAGGCATTCGATTGCGTACCGCACAATATACTTTTAAAAAAACTTGAATATTGCGGAGTGAGAGGTATCCCACTAACCCTGATGCAATCCTACTTCACAAATCGTCAACAATTTGTCGACTGGCAATATAAACTTAGTATTGCAGAAGCAGTACCAGATATTAAAGTTGTTCAAGGCAGTATTTTAGGTTCGTTACTATTCAACCCAGTTTGCAGATGATACGGAACTGACAGTTGCAAGCAAAGACATAAAAGTTATGAATGAAAAAATTAAAAATGCTTACAAACAGGTTGAAAAGTGGTTCCTCGCTATAAAATTATACTAACTATTTGTATCTCTATTAATACTTACAATATCAAGCGCCGCCGGTTCAGAGACGTTTACATATCTTCCTCTATTTCTTCGATGAAACCTATTCGCCCGATATAATTGCCGGAAATATGAATACCAAAATCTAGGTAGTGCATTTATCCTCCTTAGTGGGTTGGGATGCTCAAGACCTAAGTAACGATGTGGCGGTAGTGAATAGAATCCAGGGTTCAAGAGTGCTAATAAATTACCTGGAAATTAAATGGTATTTGAGTAGGAAACCTGGTAATATCATGATGTGTAATGAACACCTACCAAATACAATTCAATCTGGGTAGTGGAATACTTGCCAAAGTAGATGAATTCGTAACAGGTACGAGTTCCAGTCCACATCTTCTTTAATTGGTACGCATAATAATCCTTTGAGCTAACGTTCTTGTTTGTCTCGGCTCCTGTAATATTTGTTCATGAAAATTCATTTAAATTTATTACGTTCAATAATTTAGTTTAATTTAATTTAATTGAATTATAATTTAATTTAATTTATTCAATAATTTAATATTCACATGAACGATTTTTGTCATCAATGAACGAGATTAGAAGGATTATTATTATTTCTTCTACAAATCACAATTTGTCGTGCAACTGTCAACCATAAATCATGATTCCAGCAACATCATCAACAACAGGTACGTTGAAACTAAAAATATGCTCTCCAACTGGTGTTTTGTCAGGATTAATGACGATAGCGTGATTATCGCTTTGTAATTGGTGCATATGTGATTTGAATTTCAGAGCATGACAATGCGGACATTCCTTGTCCATGTGGAACTCCAACGGGTTCATGCAGCATAAACACAAAGTAATATTATACCTCAATGAAATCAAAATAAACGTTTTTCTGATATGTGTAATTCCAAATTATCGTGTCTATCATACTACTCATCCAGATTGCACAGCTTACGGAAGTATAGCTGTTTTAATTAAATTTAATAATATATATCACTATAAACTTGAAAAATATAATATCTGTTTATCTTAATGATCGTGGTTCAGTAATTATCTCAGACAAACAAAATATTAAGCTCGGTGTCCCTCAGGGCTCAATTCTCGGACCATTATTATTTCTCATCTACATAAACGATCTGCCAAATTGTACAGATCTCTGTAAATTTATTCTTTTTGCCGACGACACTAGTGTGATTATAAAAAGCAATTCCTTAGAAGAAGTAAATAATAAATTAAATCTAGTTATGAAGTCAATTTCGAATTGGTTCAATTCTAATAATCTTTTGCTCAATAATGACAAAACCCAAATTATGTCTTTTCGAACAGTAAATAGGATAAGTCATGAGATCAATTTTTTAACTATCAATAGCATTCAATTTGAATTTTCCTCAGTCTCAAAATTTCTAGGCATCCAATTACAAAAAAACTTAAACTGGGACAATCATATTTATTCCATACTTGTACCTAAGTTAACTAAAACCTGTTTCATGTTGAGAATTCTTAAATCAAAAGTTAGTTTAAATTGCCTTCTCTCAATTTATTATTCTAATTTCTATTCGCATCTCGCTTATGGAATACAATTCTGGGGATTCTCATCATCCTTAAAGGATATATTCAAAATACAGAAAAGAGCATTAAGAATAATTTTTTCCCTCAGTTCCTTATCCTCATGTAGGAATCTTTTCCGACAATATAACATTCTCACTGTTCCCTGTATATTTTTGCTAATTACGTTGTCATTCATAAAGAATAATCCTGAACGCTTCAACCTATCCTCCATGTTAAACTCCTATTATAAAACAAGAAATTTGACTATAAAAGGATCTACTTTTAAACTTGAAACATCTTTT